TCCAAATTATCATATATATTTACATTATTCATACAATGCTAATTAAAAAAAACAAAGAAACAAACAAGTGAAAAATAACCACTCATACATCCACATTTACTTATATCCCAACTTGGATGGATTTAAGTATACTGGATATACCTTTGTATTCCTACCATTATCCACTCCTATGAGGTTTGCTTTGAAAATGAAAAATAGCGTTAATTGCATGCTAGAAAAATGTCCTAAATCATGATGACATCTGGAAACAAACAAAACCCCAACAAACACAAACGCTTGTTAAAGCAGGTCCTATTTACCTATATTCCCCAAAGATTTCATCTTTTATTGATTGAGCTTCGGGATCTGGATGCAAATCTTCTTTTTCTTTCACTGTACAAATAAAATAAAGCACAGATCTGTACGCCATGTTCTGCCGGGGACTTTTCTTTTCGCAGGTGCAATGGGAAAACCGCCTGTCATCGCCCCCAGCCTAACCCGGAGGGCAGCAGCTCGCAGTGCATGTCTGGCTGGACACAACCAGCACGCTTCCATCGTGGGTTTGGGGCCATTCCCTAATTTCTACGAAAGCTAGCAAGTGTTTATAGAATCATAGCATGGGTTGGGCTGGAAGGGACCTTTAAAGCTTATCAAGTCCAACCCCCCCACAATGAGCAGGGACATCTTTAACTAGACCAGGTTGCTCAGAGTCCTGTCCAACCTGACCTTGAATGTTTCCAGGGATGGGGCATCTACCACCTCTCTGGGCAACCAGATTTATACTTAAATAACCCTTACTCATTACTTTGAAAATTACAGAATTACTTTTAGCAAAATATTCTATTGTTAAGCAGTTTGGCTACCCATGGAAGTTACGTCAGCTGGTATGTCAAGCAGCAGTTATCAGGTGGAAAGTGAGCAGGTAGCCCTGCCAACGGAGGCTGAGGTGCAGCTGGTGAAGGACCTTGACTCTACGACTGGATTAAATACTGGAAGATTCAACGAGCACTATCAAAGGCCTTTGCAAGATCTCTGACCAGCACACAGCACACAGCACTCTCACCCAGAGAGCACAGTTTCACTTATATTCTTTAGAATCCATTCTGCAGATATTTATCAAAAGCTACAAATCCTAATTGGATGTTTCTGCTTGCGGTTCTGCAGCCCCCAGAGGAAAGTCTGAAGAATGCCTGTTATTAACATGTGAATATAGCGAAAGGACAATAAATCCATTTACCTGAATATTTTCCTCCTTTATTTCTTCTGACAAAGCAAATAGTTAGCAGCAGTAGGGTGAGCAAAGCGATGGCACACATCAGTCCAATAAACCACCCCTGGGTGGAAATTCCATCGTAAATGCCAGCATAGGCTTTGTGAAACAGAAGAGGAGTAAAAAAGAAGAAAATTAATAAGAGGAAAAGGCCATCACCCTGCTATAACATGAACATATAACGCGTTCTTCACTGGATCCTAATTGAATCAGTCTATCACTACTTATTGCGTTCAACTTAAAGAAATGCAAGACAGAAATACGTCCAGGGTGTGACATTTTTAGACGCTCTAAAGGGAGGGAGGGTCTAAAGGGGAATGCACAGTCTACTAGGCACAATACAGACATTTTGGAAAGGTAATTCTGAAAGAGTAGTTTACTCAAAGGATTAATGCCACACAGGAAAGCTGAACAGAGAATTGTTAAGCCTCTCATGCAAAAGCAGTTTTGCAAAAGGAATAGAGTTAAAAGTGCACCCAACACATGCAAACCACTGGACTGGCACACTTAAAATGGATTATATCATAGCACTACCCTTTCAAAATCGCATAGGAGGGAAAACTGTTTTGTAAAAGTTTGTAATTGTTCCAGGCTATTGAGCATCAAGTAAAGCAGAGGACTCAGCCAAGAACCATGGATGCGTTTATGCTCCCATGGGATTCGACTGCAAGGGTCAACTTAAAAAATCACAGAACAAAATTATGGTTTTGGTACATTTTCACTGCACAACGTAGGACGTAACCTCAACATTTATTTACATTCAAAGTAAATCTTTATCACCTTGAAGGGTTTCATGTCTCACCTCTCCCCCTTGTCTCAATTACATCTTCAAAAATGCTATTGTTATCAACCCAATTCTTAGTCACTAGACGAACTGTATATTCAGTTCCAGGCTCAAGTGCCTCAATGGGGTGAAACTTTTGGGTGGGCTTTACTGCTTCTGAAATCTTGCCGATCCCTTTACCTACGGAATGTACATATTCAAGTCATATCGATTAATGGCATTCACCGAACAAAAGGCCTGTGAAATGCACAGTTACAAATAATGTAAATAATACACAAATACGACATACAAGGATTTTTAACATTTGTCATTGGATAATCTGATTTTCAAAAGCAGGCAGTAAAGTAAAAAAACATTCCCCTTATTTGATTTTTAATATTCCATCAGATAAAATAAACAGCAGACTGAAGTAATCCTGATGTTTATGAAATGGTTTGTACATTTCCCAGGATGAAAGTTAATATTGATGAGGGATTATGGACCTGCTTTGACTAATGCGTGCTTAAAAAATTACAACTTGAAAATGGGCTTGCTTTGTATGGATAATCTGGGGTTTGATGCTTCTCCCATTGAACTGAACTCAGCAGGGAAGCACAGACAGCTTGTTATCTGGAAATGGATTCTTATATGTCTCACGGAAAAAAAAATTAACATTGGGATTTGTACTCGTTTCTCTCCTGACAGTGATTTTCCATGTCCTTTTAAATTCCACAATGCTTGCACAAAGCACTGTTTTAGATATAGCTGAAATTTGCTTTTAAATTGTTATTTAGGCATTCAAATGTTCCTGATGAGTTTAATATTTGATTAAGAGGTAGAAGGGAAATTCCAGTAGCCCTAGTTTTACAGCCTTTTTACTTGCAAAATGCCTACTGTAATTTCTGTCTGCATTAAGATTGCAGGGTATTAAATAAGCTTTTTTAAAATAGCATTTGTGGGTAACAGAAAAGAGGACATCTAGAGAGGTTAGCAATCACTGCCTGAACATGAAAAGCCTATTCACACAAGCAAATTCAGAACCACGTGCTGACACGGGGGATATCTCTTTAGTCAGCCAACGGGAATAACACGGGAGTGTGCCGGCCTTCAATGGCAGGAGAGAGATTTCGGGGGGCTGTGCTTAATAAACATAACTCTTTAATAGTGTTCAGTTGCCTAATTTGCCTGCTTTATCCTGCTTTATTTTGGACTGACAGTAAAATAATGCTCGTTAATACTTAAACTAGTAAACAAGCAAAGCAAGAAGCTTTCAGAGATTAAGGCTTAGTTGACAGCTGAAGGAAAAAAAAAAAAGATTAAGACGAATCCAAGCACAATCAAAGCAGCAGTTCAAGATAAGTTTTCCAAGGCAACTATGCATGTATTACAATAAGCAGTTAAATTAGTAGACCATTGGGACCCAGAGAGAACACATACAGCTGAAATACTGCTGATACTAAAGCACAGCTTATTAGCATAAATGAATCCATCTATTGGTAATTTTTGCTAAATGATGTATGTGAAACTGAGCTATAATTTTTAATCCAACTGCAAATTAAGCAACAGGATACCACAGGTATGTTTTAATTACATGTTCTAAAATCAAGACATCAGAAAAACATATTTAATGGAAAGACTATCCATAAAGTAAGAAGAATAAATGTGAATTCAACCCATTGTGTATTAAATACCGTATAACACTTAGGTACGACATGATAACCGCACGGTCCAATTTGTACACAACGCAAGCCTCCTTAGGAAGCATTTCTCCTGAACTCCTGGCAAGCAAAATGCTTAACCCTGACCTCAATGGTAGCCCGCAGCTGCGGTTCATTGTGCATTTTCTTAAACCAACTTAACCAGTCCATATCTAACACCTATTTATTTCCAGATTGTGCCAGGCTCTTCTTTTTGAACAGTCAGCTCTTTACAGAAGGAAAAAGGGGGAACTGATATGGCTGAAAAATAACCCTTTTCTGCCAGGTTATTGCTCAGCGGTACCAGCCCCTCCGGCCGGCCGGGCACCGCAGGGCTGGGACACACGGACTGGAATGAGGGTTTGAGCCCATTAAATGCCCCCCCTGGGACTGGGGATTTACCATTGGCTCTCCAGGCTGTTTAACATCACCTATCCCAAAACACTAAACACAATTTTTTCTTTAAAACTCGGTACAGGTGTCCAGTGATGGGTGATTATGAGGTTTCTTTCCATGCGATTTCTTTCTGGTCTGTGTTACACACTCAATATAGTACCTACAGAGGAGAAAGCATTGCTAATTGGGGCAAGTTTGGTGGTTGGAATAGAAAAAGCAGTGTAGCATCCTGAAAAATAAAAGCAAAGATATACAGATAAGGAAAAACTCAACATATTGAAAGGTCAGTGAGCTGCAGAAATTAGCTTCAGAAAATTGAAAGCAGTTGGGTTAGGTTTTTAATCTACAATAAGGGAGAAGAAGCATTAGTAATAAAGGCATATCACCAGCACTTCTCATCTTCCCCCACTATTTATCAGCCATACCATGGGACTCGCATGAACATTAAACACTGAACTGCAATTTTACAATATTCCTACCGGGCTTCAAGATTTATGAGAACAACAGAACACACATTTTTTATAGAAGCTTATGGTATAAAGGGAAAAACAATATAAACTGCCCCCAAAGACTCACAAGAGTGCTAGTTCTCCAAAAGTTAGCACATCTGTTATAAAACATACTTCTATAAAAAAGCTGGCAGTCTAATAGCTAAATACTAATTGTGGGCAACATCTTAATTTATAACCATACCTATCTAAAATACATCTGCTGCAATAAATGGAAAGTTGAACTTCCATTAGTTTTCCCCTACTGCCTGGCTCTTACAAATGTATAAATATGCATCACAAGTATCCTTCATCTTCTGGGCTTTCTTAGGGCAGGAGGTAATTCATGCTAAATTGGGAATATTTTAAGCTATAGAGATTAGTAAACCTGCTGTGTATAAAATCTATTGAGAAGACTTTATAGGGGAGTTAGTGATCAGCTATTTGTACTGATTGTCATTTGTGTGAGAAATCTGGGCTTGGACAAGAAGACAAGTTACAGTTTGTTTCATTTCTTGCTGCTTCTCTTTAGCTTTCAGCATTGGCTACGCTGGGGCAAATGGATAGAAGAGGGGAAAGCAAAAAAAATACTAGGAAAGACAAACAGTTAATCATAAATTTGCTTGCAGTGCTCCGAGACTGATGTATTTAGCACATTAAATTTAACACGCCTATTTTTCTTGTTTAAAATGGCAGGGGTTTGAAACAGAGATATACCACATATTCCTTCTCCCGGTCCAGCCAGCGTGCAGCACCCGGGCCGGCAGGACGGTTCATTGCCTGCAATTAGCAACAGGGTTTGATGGGCTGTGGGTCCCCCGGCCGAAGAAGAGACAGCAGGGTGGAGTGGCATAAATGACAGAAAAAGGAACTTTTCACCAAGATTTCATCAGGTTCTCTTGACTGTGAGCAAACAGGGTGTATTTTGGGGGTTTGTTGGTAACAATACCAGTGGTTACATACGGCTAAGACAGCTGTATTTTTCCTTTTCCACCGTGCCTGTGGCAAAAGAGAACTAAAACCATATATTTTGTAACAAATGGTTAGTCTCCTCACCTTACGGTGGGTTATGAAGGTTAGTACCCTCCGGCTAAGATTTTCAAAAAGCCGGTGGGAGTTACATGCCAATTGCCATTGAAATGTAATGAAACTGGTGAACTTCCATTCTCCGCCTTCTCTGGAAAATAAAACTACTGTTGTATGGCTTCCTCTGGATGAATTTTTCATTAAGGCTTGAATTTCTGGGCACCCAGTAATCATTCTCAGTATGTAATATGCGTTAAGTAATCCTCAAGAACCACCGGTAACTAGATGAAAAGCAGCTTTGTGTTAAAGAAGGACTGTTATATTAAATTAAATATTTTCACTTACGTAAGAACATTATTTTGTGTTATGTTTCTGATGGCTAATGATTATTGGGAAATCAACATTTTCAAGGGGAAAATTAATTAGTTTGTAGATCATTTAGGAAATACTACCTGAAAATAAAAAGTTCGAGATAAAACTCATTTTCTAAAGACAGCATACCTTCTTCTGAGGAATGAAGCTAAGATGAAGCCACAAAAATTAAACTATTATTTATTTTTCAGCACAACGCAAATATCCTTTTGCCCAGGTTCTTCACGATTGTCCATAGCATTTTATCAACAACTGGTAAAAATCTCTGGTTGCCGATCAGCGTTTCATCTCTGAGTTATTTTGGCTATGTTTAAGATCTTTCATAAGAAAGAGACCTTTTATTTCGTTGACTTTGTATCAGCTGCCAATGCCAGTGGTGTTGGGTCATGCAACAAGGATACTCTAAATGAAAGCGTTTATATCGCCTACTGCTACTTCTCACTAATTCCAGTGGGCCTGCGTCTAATCTTAGAGATAAATATTAAAGTGTGGTTTTCTTCTGTTAAGTAATTATAGAGAAACAGCCCGGTTTGACAGCGGCAGTACCGCCGAGCAGAGGTCTCCATCTCCAGCACTGCCAGACAAGCACAGAGCGCGGCACGGCTCCACCGGAGAATGAAGAAATAGAGATGTGAGCATGGAACGGTCTTTTCCTATCAGCATCCACTCATTGACCTTTTGGTAAAGTGTTACTAGCTCAAAGCAAGGTGTTACTCCTGACAAAAATCTGAATCCGAATGGTTCATTCACAGAGGAAGATGCTGCAGTTGTACAGAAAGGGTATGATCTACCCACTTATCTATACAGGGAGTTATATTTATTTAATTGAGAGAAACTTTTTTTACTAAATTCAGTCATTCATGCCACTGCAAACTCATCATCAGGAAATGGGTTGCACACAAATTAGAGGCTGGCAACTTTATCATTTAGAGCACAACAATTTTCCCTACGCAGACTTGTTTTTAGTGGCGATACATGCATACTCACATATGTACCTATTAAAAAAAAGAAGTCGACTTTTCTTTCTGATTCCAGATTATAGTAGTAGGGATAACTGCAAATAAATGAAATGAGTAGCAGTGATGCAGATGAAGTATATTGATGATAATATGTGAATGAATTCGTAGCTTCCACCTCAACACCTTCACTTTCCTGGCAGAATGTATCACGAAATTCTGAAATACCCATGGCACAGCCTGCCAAGGCTACATTTCAGCAGTGGAAGCTAGTCAAAGTCTTAAAATGAACAATGAGAGCTTTATGTTTTTATTACTAAAACCAGAACACAGTGGATATAGAATCACTGAATCAAAACCCAAAGAAACTTGGAGTGCTCTATCACGGAGTTTCATTTCAGAAGGCACCACATTTTATATCTGTCATTTATGTGGGTCATTTTAAATGATAAACTTTGACTTTCAAAATCACTCCCTTTCTTCAAAAAGAGAGATTGTTTTAATTTTGAGCCATTGCCTTTCTTCCCATACCACAGCTTAAAACCCCAAGAGTGATTTTTTTTCATCCTATCATGTTTACTTGAAAAATATCCAAACAATTTAGCCAGCAAATGATGACACAGAATTCTAATGGCATCTCAGCGACAGATGCAGTGTCCTAATTTAGGGTCGCTTGAGAACCAGCAAGGAGCACACATTAATCGCAGAACTGGACCCTTGCGGTTTTTATTAATTAACGTACTCTATTCTACAAGCATTTCACAAGAATCAGTTGTTGTCACTGCTGAAACAAAGTCTTAGGGAAGAAGAGAAAATGAATGGCAACAGTATCATCCTTTTAAGCATCACAGGCAGGGATGCATTTCATAAAAGCTGACAAGGTTATTCAAAGAAGTTACAGACTTTCAAGTGCCCAAAACAGATTATTCTGGCTGTCCAATGAAGGCCACAAAAGGTAACTAATGAGGTGAAATGGTGTATTTTTAGCTTGAAAAAAAAAAAAAAGGATTTTTTACTTTCCTCAATGAAGAATAAATTTTAAACCATGCCGATAGATTAATAGCTACTACTACGTGAGTACCTGTATACTACAGTAAGACTGGAGGCTACAAGAGAAGAAGTTTCACTACTTGAGAAAATAGCTCATGATTGGACCCTGAAATGGGACGTGATGAGTTTAAAGTACTTTTTACTTTTTTTGCCAGTAACTGAAGAGATTCTGCAAGTCCAATAGGATGTTGTGCAACAAGGACCATTTTTCTATTTTATATCGACATTTTTCCATACTGTTATTGTTGCTAAAAATGATGAAGCCAGGACTCTTTTGCTTATCACATTCTCTTTCTCCCCTCCTGTGGTAAGTGCACAGCAATGGTTTCTGATTAATAGCAAGGTCTTGTTCCTCAGTATTGTAGTTTTCAGACTTGCTGAGCAGAGTACATTTTATTTCATTTCAGTGAGAGATGAGCTATCATATAGTGCTTGTGATTTTCCTTTAAATCACTGGACATCAGTGGTTTCGGATAGGGTATAAGTGGCACACAAATGCTTACTTCCAGTCTCTCAGAAAATAGAAATAAAGCAATGGATCAAATCCACTGCAGTCAACTTTATGTTCATCCGGATTTTCCACGTCAAATACATGCTGCTAACGTTGCTGGCAGTCCCTCATCTTCATGCAAGGGCAGAATTTGTTTTTATAATATTACTGAGAACAGATTATCTAGATCTTCCAGTTTTCTGTTCGTGACTAAATGCAATTCACTTATTCTAGCACAGCTTAAAGAGTTGATTGGTGCGAATAGAAACACAGTACTGTACAGCAAAATGAAACAGATTAGCTCTACTTTTCTGAAGAGCGGCATGGCTACATTAAAAATTTCATTGATTGTTCTCATGGAAAGAAAAACAAATTTATTTCCTCTAATTGCAAAGGAAATGTCAAGCCTGGAATATTCTCAATAGATTTTTCCATTATTGTTAGAGCTTCTCCACATAAAAACATATCACCTATTAACTTACTCCCTTGAGCCATCGTTAGTCCTTCTTCTGTGACCGGCTTCCCACAGCCTTTGACTGTACAAGCCTTTACGTAGAATTTGTACTTGGTACTGGAGCTGAGACCTGAAAGCCTCCAGCTGAGCGTGGAGCGGTTTGTTACGCTGACGTCGTTCAGAGGGCCGATTTCGTGCGTTTCGTTTACTGAAAGGGAAAAGGCAGTTGAGTCAAATCCAGCAGCGAAAGACTAGGAATGTGAAGCGTGTCGTGAACGCTCCAGCAAGGGAGGCACTGCAGTAAGTTGGAAGGATGAAGCCTGAATAAGCATATCCCACCTTCCTGCCAAGTACTTAACTGGGATTTATCTCGCCCATGTCAATCTCCCAACTACTCGGTGAGCTATTGCCATTCTTAAAAAGCTCTCCGATTCTAGATGTGCACATACTGAGTGGGAGGTAAAAATTACTGTCTCCTAGGTCATTAAATATATATGAATTGCTTCTTGCTTTGCTTCCAAACATCTGCAAACTTTTGCAAGCAAGTTAACAGATGGCTGTTCCGCTTTGCTCCGCTCTGCCTTGGCACAGTTGGCAGTCGAAGGAGGGTTTGCCACTTCCAAACTGCCTAAACAGACGGATTCACTCTCTGCCCATGGTCATCAAAACCAAAAGGAAGATCCAGCCTCCAGCCCCTGCTTGCAAAGGCAACCGGGCAGCTCTGTTATCAGTAGAGAGAATTGAAAAGTACATGGAGGTTTTTTTTTGTAAATAGGGCACCGTCTAATCCTGTTCCACCCTCAAAGAACATATAAAATACCCTGAATTGTCACCACACCTCACAGCTGGTGTTGTGACAGTCTGGGACCAATACTGGATCTTGCCTGAGGTTATCTGCTTAGTCTCTTCAGTTCTTTCATAGGCGAGAAAGAAAGAAATACCCCATGTATTTAGTTGTTTCTCAATGTGATTGCTCAATAACACGACTCGGGTGGTAGTTGTCTGCATTTCTGCTGAGGCATACTACAGGGAGGAGGTGCTCACTGACATAACGTGAAGATCTGACTAAATGCGACTAAAGTGCTCTCAATACAAATTATTTTCATTGAACGGGTTTCACTTCAGTAAAACACACCTACAATTTATGGGTCTTCTTAACTACTATCTTAGGTATAATTTGCAAATATGAAACAATTGAATTAGTCTATAAATGTGGAATAGGGCATGGCAGGAATGAGCACTTTCCTACAAAAACAGGGTAGAA